GGCTAACATTGGACTTATGGACTTGATCTAGACCAGGCTGAGATGTTTTCTGAAGATGCAATTACTGGTTGATACAAAGTTTTCTCCTATACATCTATATGAGTGTCCCTGGATTTGTTTCTCTAGTCTACCTGGATTAACACAGAACCACTGACCTTGCAGTTAACTGTCTAATGCTTAACCCAGTGTGCTACCAAGACGGTACAACTAAATTCTCTGTGCACGAAAACCTCCTAATTGAACAGTATCTCCACTCAGCAGCCCACAATGACCCTGCCCTTTGCCGACAACCAGAAAAGAGGGGCACAGAACCAGCAGGCTGGTGTCTGGTCGGACCTACAGGTGTGCTCCTGTGCGTGCCACCAGCCCTATTACGGGGCAGGGGGCGGGCGCGGCGGCCTTACCCGACTGGGTGCAGGACTTCATGTGCTCCGGCCAGTGCGCCTGCTGGCAGGGGTAGTCGCAGTAGCTGGTGTTCCAGCAGCAGTAGAAGATGGCCTCCTTCTTGCAGTGGGCGCACCACTGCTTCTTTTTGGTCTCATCCACCGCCTGCTGCTTCTCCAGCTCCAGCTGCTTCTTGACCTCGGCGATGAGCCGGTCGCGCTCCTGCTCCAGGCTCTGCCGCATCTCCGCCATGGTCAGTTCTGCAGCGGCGGGAGGACGACGCTGGCTTTCTTACCCACTACCCAGCCCCCACCCCAGCACAGGGCGCAGGCAACTCAAGTCCTGGTGTAGAGAGGTGTCGGCTATGGCATCTGGGGGATAAGCCAGGCAGGAGCTCCCAGCCCGCCTGTATCTGTGCAGGGGGTGCTGTGACCAGGCACAAGAACTGCCCGGCATGAACAGAGCCGATGTGGGAATTCCACAAACACCGATGGTTCACTAAAATCCACTTTGATTGCTTTGTCTTGTACATAAGCCATTTCCTCCTGTCAATCAAATACTTAGCAAAAGCAAAATTCACTGCCGCCGAGTGGATTATGGCTCATAACCCAACTATTTAATTCAAAGCAGCCCTATAGGCCAAGGGAGAGCAGCCCTTATGGGTTTCCAGACGGTAACTTTATGGGAGTGGAAAGCCTCCTCTTTCTTCTGAGAAGTGGCTGCTGGTTTCAAACTCCTGACCTGGTGGTTAGCAGCTCAATGTAAAGATCCACCAAAGTCCCTTCAATCAAATACTCAGAACTCCAACTATAATCAAGAGTTGCTATATTACTACATAAACATTAACAAATCTGATCCTAATAGAAATCCCTGTTCACAGCTAAGAAAAAAAGGCACAGAGTAAGGTCAGCGCTGGGGCTAGAACTCAGTCCAGCTTTTCTATGGCAATGGATTGACTAGCAGATGGGCCTGTGGTTGGGCAGGATGCTAATGAGGCCAACTAACGGTTGAGATTTTTCTAATCTTACTTTGAATTCTTAAGTATATTTACAATTGACCTGGGAGCAAATTCATGGTTCAAATTGAAGCAACAATTTAGCAGCAACTGTGACTTAAGCACTGGAGCCCAGGCGATGCAGCGGTTACCTAGTTGGGCTGCTAACCACAAGGTCAGCAGTTCAAAACCACTAGCCGCTCAGTGAGAGGAAGATAGGGTTTTCTACTCCCATAACGAGTTTCAGTCTCAGAAACCTATGGGGGCAGTTCTACCCCGTCCTATTGGCACCCTTTGAGTCTGCATCGACCTGTAGCCAGTGGATTTGGATTGGTGACTAAAGCACCTATTACAGGTGAGTGGCGAGGTACACCTGGACGCCATCCAATTGAGCATGTAGCCCTGGGCATTGGCCTGCAACAAAGCAGACGGGTAGTGGCCAGCTTTAAAACAGGTCTTTAAAACATCCACATAGACTGATGGCCAAAACAGCAGCCAATTAACCTCACCCAGAAACCACCGCGACACTGAGGTGGCTTTCTGCACAGCGCAGGGGACACAGAGAACACAGACATGCTCCAGTATGGCTAAGGTGCCCACTCCGCAGTTCTTAGGAGGGAAAACTGCGAGCCAGTGTGTCTGCAGACGAATTACACCTGTGTGACCCCAAACCACGCCCCACACCTGTCTGTGCCTGTTTCTTCCCGTGGAAACCTTAACAACCCTGTTTCATACAATGGAAACAGTGAATCCATCAAAAAGGATGCAGATTAATCCCGGATACGGAGTAGAGCTCACATTCAGTAGCCACTGTGGCTGCCCATTATTATTTGGGTTTGTTTTGGAACGTTTTCTTGTGGTTTTTGGTGAAAGTTGACACCACAAGCTAAGTTCGCATCTGACAGCCTCCCATGGAGTCCTTCGTTGACACTCGTGCCCACCGTGCTCTTTGTCCGATTGTTCGGTTGTTGGCTCTTTTAGAGCAAGAAACCAAGACCGACCTGTCCACCTGCATGAGTCTGCCTGCAGACAAGGTGAGAGCCACAGCCTCCTCAGGACTCTGCCCTCCCGGGCCTGACACCAGAGGGGTTGCAAAAGCCACACGTAAACCTTCCCCACGACTGTCCACCCCTTTACCGGATGGCCCTCCTCCAGGAGAGTCCTTACCCAGGTTGTGTTTCATCTCAGAGAGCTCCTGCTGGTGCAGCCACTGCAGCTTCTCAATCTCGATCCTCAGCCTTCGGATCTGGAAGGACACAGAGAAGGGCCTTCAACAGCTACTCGGGGCAAGTTCACTGGCTGGATCCAGAAAGTCAACATCCTGCCAGCGGGCACGGCTGTTGTCACGCTGGTCATCCAGGAAGCACTCGACGTGGGCCTGGGCTCAGCTCCCCACAATTGAGAAAGGTGCATGGGGCCCGTGGTTTAACCCAAATTCATGGGAAACGCTACTCTCAGAAAAGCAGGGACAAACAGCCCGTCAATTCCAAGAAGTACTGGTACCAGGAAAATACTACTCACAGTGAAATGAAAGGCCAAATGTTTCTAATAAATAGAACACCTGCTAAGAGAAGCAAAAGACAGGCTGACTTTTTTTCTTATAATATGTAGATGGGCAGGGCATCATTCAACACTGGAAAACAGAGGCTCTTTGAGGAACAGAAAACAATCTCATGTCCAGCTGAGTGGACAGGGGCAATTTAAAGCATTTATCCCAGTGGTTCTCAGCTGGAGGCAATTCTGCACCCTCGCCTCACCCTGGAGACGCGGTAATGCCAGGAGAAATGGTTGGCTATCACAACTGGGTGGGGTGGCGGCTTACAGCTGGTGGGTGAAGGCCCAGGATGCTGCTGCAGGGCTCAGGAGAGCCCTCCACAACTCTAAAATGCTCAGAGTGCCAAGTGGAGAAACACGCTTCAGGACACTCTCTTGTCTCAGGAAAACCATGGGAGACAGAGCACATGTTACTAGGAGCCCTGGTGGCAGAGTGGTTACGCTCTGGGCAGTTCTACCCTATCCTCTAGGGTCGCAGAGTCAGAATCCACTTACTGGCAGTGAATTTGAGTTTTGGAGGCCATAGCAAGGTACCTGGTGGCACTCCTAAGCACAAGGTCAGCGGCTCAAATCCTTGGGAGAAGGATGATGCTGTCTTCACCAAGAAAGATTTACACTCTCAGAAACCCTGCCCAGAATCGACTCGATGGTAATGGGTTTGGAACTACCGTATATACTCAAGTAGAGGCCGACCCGACTATCTGCCGCAGCACCTAATGTTACCACAAAAACTGCATGTAAAATGTGCTGAAAAACTCAGCTTATACTCTAGTAGATACGGTAATTACTATCCCTAAAAAAACCTCTTCAGGCTTTCCTCTGGACCCAAGGGCCTCAGAGGTAGCCTTGTGGGCCTGCACGTTCCACCTCATGCCAATTCTTCCACTGAATGAACAGACAAGCAGGGCAGTGGAGGGGAGAGACTTGTTGGAAGTACTGTTCTCCACAAGAGTAGCACACACAAACATAGGACATGTTAGTTTTGGACAGTGGTTATAAGAGAAACGCACAGGGGTTGGCTTTAACAGACATAAAGGTATTTTCTCATCGTTTCAGAGGTTAGAAGTTGAACTACGAATGCGTGTTCTAGAAGGCACTGTTTCCGCTGGCTCCTTGATGGCCTGGCATCTCTCCCCCCCATCTCTGCTGGCTTACTCTGCTCTTCTTACATGGTAGGTAGATAATTTTACATCAACTTGAAGCTGTACAAAATGTAGGGGTGGAATCCAACCCATGAATCAGGACACGGCCAGATGCTCTCTCCTTGGGGGCATGGCCTCCTTATAAGGAGAACCTGGGGTCCTCCTTCCCCGGGTCACTAACCCTGGGAGCTGCCGGACCGTGGATTCACGTGAGTCGGGACCAACCTTGGCCCGTGACCTTCCTGCATTCTGCATCACTGCATGTGGCTTCGGGTGTGAAGAGGGACTTCTGGGCTAGTATTGGACTTAAGAACTTGAGTTGGGGCTCGGATGCTTGCTCGATATTTAATTACTTGTTGATATAAAGCTTTTTCTTTCATGAGTGTCACTGGATGTGTTTCTCTAGTCAACAGGCCTAACACATCTTCTATTTCAAAGGAGCTGGACTTGAAACCCATCCTACACCAAGGATGCCTCATTAACATCACAAAGAACATACTCCCAAGTGGGACTATAGTCACAGGCATGCCGCCCCCCCCCCCCCCCACAACTGTCATCGAGTCAATTCCAACTCACAGTAGCCCTCTAAGACAGAACAGAACTGCCCCATTTGGGTTTCGGAGGCTGTACACTTTACAGGAGTAGAGAGCCTCATCTGTCTCCCAAGGAGCAGCTGGTTGGTTTGAACCATCAACCTTGTGGTTAGCATTCTACCACGTACCAGACAGCACCACCAGAGCCCCCTAACCATAGGTAGAGGGCTTAAGATTTACAACACCTATTTGGGGGCACACAGGGCAGAATGGATTCCTCAGTCTCTAAATTCTCTTCTTGAAGGTTTCTCTTCACCATCTGAGTGGGAGTCTAATCCTGAATCTGTGTGTGTGTGTGTGTGTGTGTGTGTGTGTGCCCACACATGCACACATGCATATGCATGGAGGGAGGGGGGCGGCGTCTTGTTCAAATATAGATTTTGTCTCAGTCTATCTGGAGTATAAGGGCAGACTCAGGTGGAGCTGAGGGGTGGCGGGGTAGGGTGTCTCAAGACCTGCAGTTGATCACACAGAACAAGGTGCAATCTCTCCACAGACTGGCTGAAGCAAGAAACACCTGCCCCAACAACTGGGACCACCCCACCCCACCCCACCCCCAGCCAGCCTGGAGAGTGGAGCCACAAGGGCTTCCCAGAGTGGCTTCTGCGTGGCACCATCTTGCCAACTGCCTGTCACCCCCGTGGGAAGCACAGCACAATGTGCAGAGTCTGACCTCGGCGATGGTGCTTCCAGTGGTGTTTTTCGACAGATCGTTGTATATTTCCGTCATCGTTCCTTTGATTGCATCCATCATCTGAAAGAGGAAACAGGCAGTTCAGGGGCCGCTTCCAGGCGTCAGCGACGGTGCCGGTGCTCCCAGGGGGACACTAAGCGGGGTGCCCAGATGCATGCCTGGTTGTCACAATTGGCGGACAGGAGGTACGAGAGATGCTGCTGAGCATTACGCAACACCCAGGTAGGCCCGCAGCAAGAGGACCAGGAGAATGCCACCCACGGCACCCAGGCTGGGGGACCGTTCACACACAGAAGGCAGTTTGTTGTCTCACAAGGTCAAAGTGAAGTGTGGCACTTGGACCCCCCTACTTATGGGCTTAGTGTGTTGTTTTCCTTGAAGACAATGGGTTCTATGGAGATAAATCACATACCTAACCCTTCACCTCCTTGAAGTGTGCAATTCAGTCGCTTTTCAAAAAACGAGAGAGTGGAATTACAGAGCTCCCCTTCTGAAGGTATGTGGAAGGATTAAATGAGAAAAATTGTGTAAATAATTAATATGGAGTATAAGTTCACTAAGAAATACCAATTGTATGTGTGTGCGTGTGTGTGTTGAGGGACGAAGGACAGCCAGTTCACAGAAGCCAAGAGTTACCTAATTGATGTAAAAATCCCTTTAAAAAGAAAGACAGCTAGGGGAGCGGGGAGGGAGGGGAAAAATGAGGACCTAATGTCGGGGGTTTAAGTGGAGAGAAAATGTTTTGAGAATGATGTACAAATGCGCTTTACACAATTGATGTGTGTATGGATTGCGATAACAGTTGTATGAGCCCCTAATAAAATGCTTAAAGAAATAAAAAAATAAATAAATAAAAGGACAGCTAACCCGCTTTTCGCCTCAAATGGGAGCAAACCAAGTACATTATCTGTTGAGATTTCTGTTCCCAGCTTCCTGTGAGAGCAACATGGAGCACATTTCGGTAAAAAAATAAAATAAAATAAAAAGAGCTCATGTTTTACAAGGCTTCTCTACAGGCTCTGCTCTGGGGCTGCCTTATCCAACCAACCCTCCACCCTGTCAAAGAGACAACGTCAAAGTCAAGTGCTTCCTGAGAACAGCCGCAGGAATAGATGGACCTCCATACATCACTGTGGCAGGAGTAACCTCCCATTCGGCAGAAACCAGGAATGTGTGCCGGCAGAGAACTCAGCATTAATAAAGACTCTTCCGGCATGCGCACGCATCAGGGGTCTCTACTGCAGGTCAACACCCTGTCCGTTTTTCCCTAAGGCAAAGAGAAGCCTATGGAGCAGGCCTTTCCCTCAATTTTGTTGGAAGGAGAAAGGCGGTGGCAGAGGGTGGATGGGATAGAAATGGCGCCTGGACCAAGGAGATTGCTTCTGTGCCAATGCCGGGCAGAACCGCCAAGTCCTCCTCCACTTTCCCATCTGTCAGTAGGAGCCCCAACCAGCTCCCTGGAGGGTGGGGTCCAAGAAGTGGTTGCCAGGAGAAATAGAAATGACTTCCGACGATATACCAGGAACCCCCTTAAGTCAGTCATGGGAAAGAAATCACCCACTTTCAATTCTCTCTCAATATAGCAGCTCTCACTTGAGAACGTCCCTGCTGGGTGCACTCTCCCTTAACGACAAGGAGATGGGGCCTAGGTCAACAGCTTGACAAGAAACAGCATCTGCTGAGGTTCAATTCAACTGCATTTACCATGTTACTCATCTCGAACCAAGTCCATTTAAATAAAAATCCTAGGTCAAGCTCGTTCAGAAGGGTAACGAGTGGCCTGCCCGGAACAGGGACCAGTTGGGTTGGGGGATGGAACTGTGAGCTCTTGGGCACATAAATGGGAATGTCTACCTTGCAAGTGCTACAGGACCCCTGTGACCTGGGGCCTACCTGGGCACTGGCGCCTTACTCCACCGCTTAAGGAAGCCCGTCCTTAATGACGGACCTCCATTCTGAAGGGCTCTTCAGCTTCCGCCGTCTTTCCATTCACACACAGACTTCAGGATCTAAGCCCTCTCTCAGGCAGAAACTTAGTCCCTCCTAGATGTCTCCGCTTATCCAGCCTGGACTCGGTGGAAGAATGCTGTCTTGAAGAGCCATCCTCAAGAACAGGGTTCTCCCTAAGAAGGACACCTCAACCCTGCCAAGGTTATGGCCATAACGGCTCTCAGCAGGAAGCTGGCCTCTAACTTGCCGCTGAGCACCTGCCGGCCTCCCCGGCACTCACTTTGCTGGTGTACTTGGCGATATCTGCGGCGACGTCAGCGGAGGCGGTAGCAATGGGCAGATCAGCATTGATGGAGGATGCCAGGGTGCTTGTGGACCCTGAGCTGGTGACCAGGGGCGATGACTGTGTGCTGGTCACCAGGGTGATGGTTGACGTGGACGGGCTCTGGGTGATCTCCTTCTGCTGGACAGCTGAAAAGCAAAGGGCTCTGGCTACCCCCACGACTGCGGGCACACTGGGCGCAGCACCAAGATGCGGGCAGGCGCCTCTCACAGAGAACCGGCAAGCTTTTGGGTGCAAACGTTCCCAACATCCTAGAGGGAGGACTGTACCAGCAACGGCTCCCTGTTCTTGCTCAGACCTACATTCCACTGGGAACACCTCCTGCTGTTTCTAGGGCATGAGGACGAAGACTGGCATTGCCATCCCAATCCCAAACACACTAGGATTCAGCTCTGCCAGCCATACAAGGCAAGGTCAATCCAACTCACCGCCAATACAGCCTTACAATCCTGCAGACTCTTGCCCAGCCCCACCCACCCACCCAGCCTTGCAGAGGTCGCCATGGGGGGTGGGGGATGGGGAGCACCAAGATCTCACCGCCTTTTCTCCTGCTCAGAGGCTAAGGTGGTAGCCCCGCTATGCAAGAGCCTCAGCAAGGAGCTTGGCCTACAAGGCTCTGAACACAGGCCTCCTCCTAGAAGGGCCAAGATCCGTGTTCACCCCAAAGTGGGCCCCGTGGGGGTGCTGAGCCGAACCAGGGGGGTGCTGTGGAAACGGACGGCCAACACGCTATCTCAGATTATGGGTTACACCACCAACATTTTTCATTGTCAGGGGGGTGCAGAGTTACGTGTCCGATTGCCAGGGGAGTCAAATACCTTTGGAAGCCTAAGACCTAGATCAGTGCTCGCAAGCGAGCCGGACCAATCCGGAGCAGTACTTGGCTTAAATCAGAGCCAGGCGGAGCCTCCTGTAGGGCCAGGAAGAGCTCTTGATTCCACAAGGGCAGCACATGGACGGAGGCTGGCTCATGGTGTGTCGTGGCTAACCCCCGGCCATCACGGCGACCTCTGCTTGCTACCATGGTTCTCTCTCCTCTTTCCAAAAGAACTCCCTGAGGCTCACTGGTGCACACCAGGACGCTTACACAACCGCGTGACAGCCGCTCTGCTTACAACAAGCGGGGGAAAAAAATCTGAATGAGCGCTCAGTGCCCACCAGCAGGGGATTTCCTTAAAGAGTCCTGAAACACTACGCCGCAGTTCCCAAGACTATGGTAAAGACCTACAGACCTTCAAAACATGCTGAGGGGTGGAAAAAATGAGGTACCATGTTTTTCTTAAAAAGGAGGGGGGGTGTTTTAGGAGTCAAATATAGATAATACACATGCATCCGTGCATAGCAGTTTCTAAGAGCATCCAATGAACTGACAGCAAACAGGGCATGTGATGAATGCAGGGAGATGAATGAGATGGGCGTTCAATAGGATAAAAAAAACGTTGGCTATCACTAGTTTGCCCTCATAGCGACCCTATAGGACAGGGTAGAAATGCCCCTGTGGGGTTCCGAGACTTAACTCTTTATGGGAGTAGAAAGCCTCATCTTTCTCCTGCGGAGCGCCTGGTGGTTTCGAACTTCTGACCTTGCGTCTATTGGCCCACCACGCCACAAGGGTTTCCTTATAGTGTCGCTATGAGCTGGGATCAGACTCGATGGCAGGGTGAGTTTTGAGGTCACCTACTTACAGGAAAAGAAACGCACGTGTCGTTTAGAATACCGGATAAACTTAAAAAGCACGCTGCAAAACAAATTCTCAAGAGCCATGCCACATGAATGCTTGAGGCTTTCCGGAGTCTAATGGCCGGGAAACAAACAAGGAGGGGGACAAAAAAGAAAAAGGGGATGGGGGACTCTTCTCCTGTGGGCGTGGCCAAAAGGGTACAGAGGCCACAGCGTCGGGAGGGGCGACTAGGTACCTTTCACAGCCTGTCTGGTCTGATATCTCGTCCCCTGGGAAGACTGGGGCTGCGGCGGCTGGCTCTGCTGCTGTTGCTGCTGCTGCTGCTGCTGCTGGCGCTGCATCTTCTGCATGTGCCACTTTTGGGAGGACGTTTGAAACTTACTTGAGGAGTTCCACACGACCCGCTGCACGGCCGGGGCAGTCTCCTTCGGTAAGAGCGGCCTCTGCTTTTTCACCGGGCTTCCCGTGGCGGTGGCGGCGGCGGCCGGGGCTGTGACCGTGGACGTCGTGCTGGTGGTGGCTGTGACTCCGGCCGTGGGGGTTTGGGAGGAAGCGCGGGTGAGGACCGGCGTCTCGGCGGGAGACTGGCTGCCCGTCGCTGGGGTGGATGGCGGCGCTTTGCCCACGACTAAAGCCAACGCATGAGAGAGACAAACAAAAGGAGTGGGTTTGACCGGGGGCGCCCACAGAGTGGCCCCCAGCAAGCTCTGAGGGAAGCCAAGCAGCCAGGGCCGGACAGAGAGGACCGATGGGATGCCCGTTCTCCTGGTCGCCGCAGCATCAACAGCTCTTTCTTCTCCTTACTGCGACCTGCTCACCTCGGAGACCCAGATCTACGCCCAGCCCCTGCCCTCAAGACCAAACTGCCTGGGAGCCAAGGTCAACTTAAGGCCAACTCACAGCTACCCTGTAGGGCAGGGTAGAACTGCCCCGAGGGTTATGGAAACTCTTTATGAGAGCAGGGAGTGGCTAGAGGTTTCAAACTGCTGACCTTGAGGTTGGCAGTCAACTAGTCAACAAGGCAGATGAATGGAGGCGCGACAGGAAGTGCCTTGTATCCAACAGTGACGAGAAAGGTAAGTCCCTCAGAGATTCAGAGACACCCTAGGCTAGGAACCCTGTAAACCAAGGATCCCAAAGACCCTAGACAGCCCGCCCTTTTCCCACCTTCTGATCCCCTGAGGAGGTGCTGACTCAACCCAACAGACTACCAGAACATGCCCCAAGGTCAGATACCTCTGCATACAGCAGCATTTATCTAGAAGGGACTGGGCATTTGGCTTCCCTTTCATACGGTAATCTAGTCGAAGATAAGGTGGTGGGTGGGTTGGTGACAGAGACAGACAGAGACAGACAGACCTAGTTTTTAAAAAAAAAGAGAGAACTATGGAACTTGAATGGCTGTCCGAAGGACTGTTTTCTTGAAGCCCAAGGCTTTGAAGGCACTGGGAAAGGTTTCAGTCCACTGAGTGAGAATTAGGGGGAACTTGGGGTGCCTGAAGGCAGCTCGTGGGAAGGTTCGCCAGAGCCAGAAGCACTGATCAGCTTCCCTCTAAGCCTTATAGCAGTGGTTCTCAACCTTCCGAATGTCCCGACCCTTTCCTATAATTCCTCATGTTGTGGAGACCAACCATAAAATTATTTTCATTGCTACTTCATCACTGTCATTTTGCTACTGTTATGAATCCAGGCGACCCTTCCACAAGGTCATTCGACCCCCAAAGGGGTTGCGACCCACAGGCTGAGAACGGTTGCCTTAGAGGGAAGGGATACAGGGAGTACTGGGTTTGAAGAATGTCCAGGATGACACAAAAGTGCAGGTTAGCACTCTGGCTTGGTGTACCCCGACACCACCCACTGTCTGCTGGCATCTCTATCACCCTAGGCAGGTGAGCAAGGTCCCTCTGGGAGCATTTTTGAGAAGCAGAGAGTGGAGTTGACTGATGGGAGGTTTAGAAAGGGTTCTCGGTTCTGGCTGTGAGAGATCAAGCAAACGTTGGGGACTGGGAGGGTAGGGGAGCCGGCCTGCAGTGGTGTCCCAGCCCTTCCCAAGGGCAGAAGGCCTTGGCCTCCACTTAGAGTATGCTCAGGGCCCTCAGCAGCTCCTCCCGGCCTCCCTTTTCTGCATGTGGCTAAATGTGTGAGGTTGGTCGAGGTTCATTAATATTAGCGAGCTGAGGTCGGCTAACCGCGAGGTCAGCAGTTCAAACCCACCAACTACTCCCTTTATGAGGCACTTTGATTCCGTGAGGGTCTGCAACCCCAGAAACCCTCTGGGGCACTTCTACTCTGTCCTACGGGGTCAGTTCAAGTCAAAATCAACTCGGTAGCAAGGGTCTGTTTGGATTTTGCTTAGCCTGTGTTGAGAGGTTGGCTGCTAACGGAAACATGGCGTGGTCTGAACTTGGCAGGAGAAAGATGACAACCTTGGGCAGTTCGACTCTGTCCCATGGGTCAACCGAGTCAGAATCTACTCCAGGGCAGTAGGTTTGAGCAAAGAGCAACCCAAGCAGGTCCCGCCCCTCATTGGCAGGACAAACAATAGCAGCTTTGCAGGCAGATTACTGCTTTTGCCTGGGGCCCCTTCCCTAAGGAACACAGGTGAGTAACTGGAGGGAACCATTTAGACCTGACAGGTGATCTTTGTTAGGGAATGCTGATAGTTTATGGGTGCAAAAGAAACTGCTCTAAGAAAACTCAAATTGTCTTAGAAATTTGGAGTTACACACTTAAGCACTTCTTACAGAAGGGGAGAAGACGAATTTCTTAAAGGGCTAGCACTCAAAAAAAAAACAGTCTAGCCAAAGACCCTACCAATTCTGTAGGCTGTCAGTGTGCAGTATAGCACTGATGAAACACATTAACTCTCTTCTAGTCCTTTAATATTTCCTCCCCTTACTATTATGGTCTTAGTTTTACCTCGTTAATTTTGTTAGACCTGCTTATGTTCATTTGTATAATTAAGATGTATGATTCATGAAATCGAAGATAGATAAAAAACTTAAGAAATACTAACAGATGCCCTGAAGGTATGGGAAGAGAGGGAGTAGGGTGGGAGAGAATGATAGCAATGGGAGGGGGTGAGGTGGGAATGAATAGGCAAAGAGATAGCATTGGATGGTGTAAGGTAAGGCTAATAATAATAAGAGTTCCTGGGGGGTGGGAGGGAGGGGATAACGGGGAGCAGGCATCAGAGTTCAAGACAAAAGAAAATGTTTTGAAACTGATGGTGGCAGTAATTGTACAATTATGCTTGATCTAATTGAATTGTGGACTGTTAAAATACCTGTAAGAGCTCCCAATAAAATGATTTTTTTTAAAAGGCCCTACTCCTAAGTCTTTAGGCTGTCAATGTGGCGCACACAGAGAATTTTAAAGGAAAGAATCCCCCTCCCTCTCTGGAAATGCATGTTCATGGCTGAGGTTCAGGAGTGACAGTCTCTTGAGAATGGTCCTGGCTGAGACACACCCACCCTTTACAGCATTTGACCACTAGACGTGACAGGCCATGTTCTATATGACTTCTTTTTCTACATCCCAAAGCAGTCACACTGGGCGGATACTGTGCAGCTAGGTTCGAAATTGGTCAGGATCGAGAACTAGCCAGCTGCCTGCCCGGAGGCCAGCTGCAGCTTCGCAGGACGGAGCCAGTGGGGCACAGTGACTGCTATACCACACACGAAACAGGTGCATCACTTACCATCCTGCTTGGGAGACGGTTCTTTGGGCTCCTTCTTGTTTTTCCGACCCTCCCGCCCAGAATGGTCTTCTCCAAGATCGATGACAAGTTCACTCTCTGAATCGGAGTCCAGGCCCAAATGCACCGTCGGGGAATCCGTCTCGTCTTTCCCCTTCAGCTTATCCTTCGGCGGGAGAGGGGAAGGTTTTGCTTTCTCTGGAAGATCCTTCTCAGGCTCCGGGCTGGTCTTTTCCTTGACCACCACTGGGTCCGCCTTCTCACTGGTGGGCGAGGAGCTCCTCAGCTCCTCCTTAACCTCCACGGGGTTGGAGGGTTTGGGCTTTTTTTTGACGGCAGCTGGCTCTTTGTCCATTTGACCGCCCTCTTTGTCATCCGCGTCTTCGGGCTCGTTCTTGGACTTCTGCTCGTCGTCACTGATGAATTCACTGTCGCTACTGTCGGACTTCTCGGAATCCTCCGAATCGCTGTGCTCCACAGCCGTGTAGACATCTTCCGAGATTTCATTGATGCCTAAGTGCAAAAAGAAAACCTGAGCATGTGGCCTGGTCACGGAACAGATGCTGCTTCCCTACCCCCTGCGGGCCGGCACCCACTCTCCAGGTGAGCTGTGGGGCCCAGCCCTGCCACTTGCTCCCTCCCAGCATGCGGTCAAACCCACTCGCCAGGATCTGCGCCTGTGATTCTTCCACCTCCATGGAGGCCAGAGGCAAGGGTCTGTCTATCACAGGCGCGGCAATACAGAAGGTGGGTGTCTCACACACATCCCAATGGGTAAGAGCCGATTACAAACCACAGGTTCACTTAACCCATCTAGGTTTCTCGCCCCTAGGATGGGGTCAGCAAATAAGACTATCCTAAAACTACTCTTCACAGAGTCTCTGTGCGGGGCAGTCCCCGGCACGGCTAAGGTGTGGGGTCCCTGTCCCGACCCACAGGCGCTGGAGGGAAGCTCACAAAGGGCTAAGAGAAGCTGGTGATGCACCAGGCAATTTTTATATCTGCTTCAACCGGGGTTCAAAGGCTCAAGATATCAAGATATTAAAATTTACTATGACTTCTGGATCCAAGACCCTGTGTGGCAACCCATCTTCACACCCAAGAAAGAAAAATACAACCACCCATGTGCTAGGCCAGCATTGAAATGTCTTGAGTTCAAATCCCAGCCCCTCCATTTTTATTAGCTATGTGGCCCTAGTCTGTTTCTTCATCTGCAAAATGAGGAGGACAGGGCACTAGAGGCACAGCGTGGTGGGCAGGGAACAATGTTACAATTCTCAGTCATACTCTTACATAGCAAGGAGTTAGCCAGCAGCCTGAAATGACCAGAGAGGGACATGTAGATCGCCTGGCACCTTTTATGGAGGCTACTCAATGATCCCATGAAACGGGCCACCTGACAAGGAATGCTCCGAGGGCCCCTCGCTATGGCACCTTTTTCATTCAATGGCCAGACCACCACCTCGGGGTGGTGGCATTCTAGAGCCAAGACCAAGGACCTCGGAGAAGGCAAATCCTTGGAATAAAATCTCTGCCCTCCAGGAACTGTCAGACGAGATGGGGAAAGATTCACCCAATAAAGGAACGGTGGTACATTTGCGCAGTAAGCCCCAGGGGAGGCTGGCAGGTGAGGAAAGGATCAGGGGAGGCTTCCTGGAGGAGGCACATGGAGGAGGGCAGGTTCAGGCAGGCAGGGGGAAGGCAGGCAGTAAGGGGAAGAGGAAAAGGAGGTAATGGGTATAGCTGCAGGCAAGGTGGCTGTGTGGAAAGTGGCCCAGTCTGGTGCAGGCAGGGTTGTGGTGGGACTTGGGGGAATACACCGATACACATTGATTTCACCTGTTGACGCGCACAGAGGTGGACTCTGGCAGCACTCTGCTCTGGCACCTTCTTACCACCTGTTCTTAGTCCTCTCTACAGAAGGACCTCAGAGGGACTCGGAGGGCCAGCAGGCCAGACCCCGCATGGCCCCAGTGGAACTGAAGTTTATGGAGCCAACGTGCGCTTGGGAAAGGACCTGCTAAAAGCAGTCAGGACTCCCCAGCGGCTGCACCCACCCAGGTGGCATGCCCACCAAGCCACCGTGCAAAGCCGGGCAGAGCCGAGGCTGGTACCTAGCTGCGCCTTGCAGCTCTCGATGGTCTTGTCCAGATTGAGCTGGAACCGGCTGCGGATCTGCCGCTTTGGGGAGATGAGCTGGACGGGCTGGGTCTGCTGCTGCACGGACTCGCTCAGCTCCTTCAGATCCATCTCGGCTTTGCTGCGGTCTGGAAGACACCACCCAACCCCGTGAGACAGGCACTCGGAGGGGGATCACCAACACCACCTCGCTTCCTGCTCGCAACCCAAAGGAAAAGAAAGAAAAAACCCCTGCCCGGGAGTCCACGCCAACACACGGCGACCCTACAGGACAGGGCAGAACGGCCCCTGTGGGTGTCTGCGATTGGAACGCTTTCCTGGGGGTAGAAAGCCCTGTCTTTCTCCCAAGGAGTACCCGGTGGTTTCAAACCGAGACCCTTACAGGTAGTTGCCCAATACATAACCACTGCAGCAGCAGAGCTGAACATGGACTGCAGATTAGGTACATAAAGAGAAGGCCTGGGTCATTTGTCCCAATGGTGCAACAAGAGATGACTCAAAGACAGGGGCCAAAAACACGTCCTCGGCAGACCGGCTCGATAATCCCAATATCCACCGGCTTATTTTCAGGGTTCACAACATGCCGCCCCAGCTAGACGGTCCCGAGGTCAACCGCAGCATCATCAGATGGCCTCCAAAGTCAGCGGTGACGGGGACAGTGGCCACCGCAGAATCAGCGGTGATCACGGGGGTCCTTTCTTGCCACGTCCAGGCAGAGGGGGCTGTTCTCCCCACTAACGTCGGAGGCTGTGGGTCTCTCTTCATTGACCTAGTCTTGGGACTCGGACTAGAAGGGGGTGGGAAATATCCAGTAGGAAAACCTTCCCGGCAGTCCGCTGTAAAGGGGACTTCAATACATTTGTGGGGAAAAACAGTGGAGAGATCATGTATTTGTCCAAGCCCTTCATCCTTCCCATTATGTGACAGCATCCATGTGAGGAAGAGTGACTCTCCCTTGAACAGGTCACCTCCCCCAGGTATGTCCAGTCCCTTCAGCGTCCCCACCCATCGCTCTCTGTCATTCTGCGGAGGACTCCTTAGGTAAGCAACGGGCACTGTGTACGAGGGCTTGAGCATGTATGAGAATTCCCACTGTCTCTTCCATTCCACGTGTCCGTGAACTTTTAGAAGGCCCTTGCTCTCTCGGTTTCCTTTCTCAACTCCTCAGAACCTGCTGCTGCCACTCCAATTCCAACTCATACCAAAGCAACAGGACAGACCTGCCTGCCCAGGAGCAGAGCCACAGAGAGCCACTGCATTCACTGGTGGAGCGAGCCGTTGGTAGATTCGAACCACCAACTCTTTGGTTGGCACCCAAGCTCTTAACTGCTGCGCGACCAGGGCGCCTGCCTGCCTGCCTGCTTCTTTGGCTGTTGGTGGGTGCCGCGGACTCAGCTCGGACGCCTGGCTGCTATAGGGACAGTAACACAACGGCCCTGTGGACGAGAGGCACACACTGCCTGGGCCTGCCCTGTCCTCACAGTATCGGTGCCGCCACTGGATCAGTCCACTCAATTGCCCCGAAAACTATGGTGGCTAGGAGGCACATAAAGCAATGAGTCCTTCCAAGTAGGGGGCACTGTCTTTCACCTTATCTGTTATCCTCTGGCCTCCGCTCCCACTGACCCAGAGCAGAGAATGTGGGGCGACTGCCCTAGCCAGCCACCCCCAGGAAATAGGTCAGAAAGCCTGGGGCATCAAGACCACAGGGCAACTGGGAGAAGCCACCCTGAAGCCGGTTCCCACCAGTGGTGAACAGGCTCTTCCGCCCCCTCGCTCAGCTCCTCGTGACCCACCCCAAACCTGCCTCCTCGCTCTCGGCCCCGGGGCACAGCCCAAGAGCTGGAACGGAAGAGCCAGTCAAAGCCTTCACTCTCTCCCTGTCTTCCCAGTCTTCCTGTGTTCCCGCAAGCTTCTCCCCTTCAAACAGTGAGGGCACATTAGATTCAATTACACCACGCCCCCCAATACCTCAGGTAGCCAGAAGCAGCCACCTCAGGCCCCACTCCGCCCAGCGACAGGCTCCCAGCAGCAATGAAATTGCTCCCCAACTGGATCTTATCACCCTACTAACGTCCCCACCAAGGTAAGAATAGGAAGGACACTTTCCACAAAACAGACCCAGCAATCAGTCCCCCAGGAACATTCCAGAACTGGGTGCTCAGAGCAAACAGATGTATTTCCTCCTTGGGATCCTGGAAAGGGTGCCAGAAAAAGATATCCTTGTGTTGATTAGCGCCTCCCTGGAGAACAAAGACTGCAGCCTTGCATAACGACAGCAGTGCACACACAGCCAACACAGAGCGAGAACCTGCACACCAACTAGAGAAAGAACTAACCACAAACCCATCTCAACTTGCCTCCAACGGCAACCACCTTGAAGCACCTGACCAAGACCCAAACTCTGCCAAGGAAACAGAGGCCAGCAAGGGAGAGGAAAAGCGGAGCAGGGACCAGGGAGGCATGAAAAGCAAGAAGACCAACTGAAGGAGAAGGAAGAAGGCAGGCTTGAAGACTTCAACGGTCGAGTTGCAAAGAGTTATCCCTCGAAGAGGAAGGATATGAAGCCTATCTTGTAATTTCCACTTTCTGAAATGAGGAAGCACCCCACCTTCCAGAAGGAAAAGGCAGCCGTTTCCGAGCAGGACGCTCGAAGAGAAACCTAGGGAAACGCTCTCCCGTGAGGAGAGGCCTCGGAGTGCTGTGTTCAGCGGTGTCCTTAACAAACATCGTTGGGTGATTGATTCCACACAGCAGCTGGTGAAAACCTCAATCTACAAGACCAGGGCTCCGCCACCTTTCCCTGCAAAGACCGGGAGTCAATATGATAGGCACCTGTGGGTGGCTGAGGGAGGGGACTGGGTCCTCCGCAGTCAAAAAGGAGATGCAAACAAGTAGGTGTGCAACAGAAAAGGGGGTGAAGGGAGACGTCGGACAGGGCAAGATAATTTATAAATTATCAAGGACTCATGAGGAAGGGGGGAGCGGGAGGGAGGGGGAAAATGAGCACCTGAGGCCAGGGGCTTAAGTGGAGAGCAAATGTTTTGAGAAGGAAGAGGGCAATGAATGTACAAATGTGCTTTACACAATTGATGTATGTATGGATTGTGATAAGTCGTATGAGCCCCTAATAAGACAATTAAAAAAAATAGGTGTGGCTGTGTTCCAATAAAACTTTATTTATGAAAACAAGGGAGGGGTCAGATTTGGCCCATAGGGTATCCATGACAATCCCTATCATTGGTCCAGTAATTCCGAGCCTTGCCGGCACACTGAAATCATATGTATCAAGCCGAGCCAGTTGTCACCAATCTTCCTCTCCTGTGGAGCAGCTGGGGAGTTCAGCAGGTGACTGATAAGTGGGGGAGCGCCAGCACTTTTAGAAAACACTGATGCCTGCCCCCCTCCCCCCAGGTCTATTTAAATAACCTGGGAAAGGGTTAGTAATCAGGTCTTTCAAAGTCCACCCCACCCACAGCCCCAGGTTATTCTGATTGGCTAAGGTTTTGAACGCTTGTACTAAACCAACCTTCTTTGGAAGTCGAGAAAACCCCTCACTGTTTCCCGGGTAAAGTTTTGAACGCTTGTACTAAACCAACCTTCTTTGGAAGTCGAGAAAACCCCTCACTGTTTCCCGGGTGGCTTGGCGGTTATGCGATGGGCTGCTTAACCGAGTCAAAACTACTAACTGTTCTGAGGGAGAAGATGTGGCTTTCTACTCCCATGAACAGTTACAGTCTTAGAAAACCGCAGGGGCCGTGCTACCTGCCGCACACAGCTGCTATGAATCAGAATCAGCTCATTGGCAGTGAGTTTGTTTACACCGCCAAGTCGAAAGCCAAACTCAATCAGCAAGTTAATTCTGAGCCTTAACGGCCCTCTAGGACAGGGCGGAACTGCTCCTGTGGGTTTCCAGCTTTTACGTTTACGGGAGTAGAAAGCCTCATTTTCCTCCCGAGGAGTGACTGGTGGTTTCAAACTACTGACCCAGCGGTTGGCAGTGCAACAAATAACCCCAAAGCGACACGGGTCTTGCCAAAATACCCTCGTTACATGTGTGTTTCTATACATGTCTAAAACAAATGCAGCCATTGAACCTGTAGCCAAAAGAAAGACAAGAAGGCAAGGGATCTCATTTCACTAAGATTTCTCTGGTCAATATGATCCCATTAATAGTGTCTTCTAACAAGAAACTAACTAAAGGAGGTAGGCTGGGATCAGGTCTCCTAGAGCCGGACCTTCGAGAACCTAGGTCAAACGGCATTCTGCCTCACAAGTCAGCCGAGGCCCACTGGCCTCCCCTACACAGAGAGAGAAAAAACAGTTTTGTTCTCACTCAGGCCTTTGCAGAGAAGCTTATCAAGCCTCCCCCACCCCCATGCCCACCCTTTCTGGGTGGGGCCGACCTCTGGAATCCACCCTGGTCAACATCTTGAACTTCTCAGCTGGTGGCAAGTCGGCTTCGGCTACACATGAAAACTGAAGATATAAAAAAATGACCCATGCTGGAGAGAGGGGGCCCAAGCTAACGTTCCTAGAGAGAGTCTAAATCAGAAGCATCTCTTTAGAGGGCAACTGGATAATCTCTCTCAAAATAACAAGCCTGCGGAGCCTCCGATGCAGCCAGCCCACTCCAAGGAATTAATGCTCTGCGATGGTATGATGGCGGTGCACAAAGCCACCCCACCCCATGCCACCCCCCTGGCAGGCCAAGCTCCCACCGAGAGGACACAGGTAGAGGCCGAGATCAGTGACAGCTCACCTGCCGAGGGAAGGCGCTACAGCTGCCCGGTAGAGCCCTGCCTGAGCAGGAAGCCACTGGCTGAGAGAAGACAGTCATGTAAAAAAGCAGGTGAGAAGGGGGAGGTGCGAGGCGGGCAGACGAGAGAGCTTCCTTCCAAAAGCCCCTGGTAAAGTTGTCTTCTTAATCCCACCCTGCTATGCACTTCCGGAAGCCCCCTCACTTATGCCTAACTGGGGGTGGAGGGGTATTTAAATCCGTTGGCACTACTGACATTTGAGGGTCACTCTCTGGTGGGGATCGTCCTATGCATTGGAAGACCACGGCCTTCACCCAGCAGGTGCCAGCAGCACCCACTCCCAGTCTCTATAATAAAAATGCCTTACAGATATTACTCAATAACCCCCCAGAGGCCAAGGGCCCCGATGTTGAAACCACTGGTATTTATCTCTAAGATGTGTCCAAGAAGAGACAGGAGGAACACCAGTGGTCAGCTGGTGGGTGGGGGGGGAGTGGCGAGGGGTGTGGAAACAGAGGAGCCCGGGATACACTAAAGAGCTTCCGTACTTTGAAATCAGTGGTGTGCGTTATCTGAAAACCCAAACATACCTTTTAAAAGATGGATACAAACAATTGGTTTGCAGTTGGGGGGCTGGGGTGGGGGTAGGGGAGTGGATTTTTTTGATCAGAAGCTACAGGCAAAGTCATGGACAAACTGCCAGGGTTCACAAAACCGCACTCCCGTCACCCTAAGAGAACGCCATCAGGTAGTGAGAGGCCCAAACCAAAAACAACCCAACGCACTGCCACTGCCGGGAGTCAATTCTGACTCAGCACACCTTCAGGGGAGGGTCGCACTGCCCCTGTCAGCTTCCCAGGCTCGAACTCTTTCCAGCAGTAGAGGGCTCGTCCACACTCGGAGCTAGCTGGTGGTTTCGAACGGCTGGTCTTAGGGGGTAACTGCCCGACACATAATAACCACTATGCATCAGGGCCCCAGGTGCTCTCTATCAAGGAAGACGGAGCCAGCCTCTGCCCCGCCTGGTGGCTGTGTGCTCTGCATGAAAGCGTCTAGCCTGCCCGACCCCCGGGACCCAGCTCCACATCTGGACCCTCCCACAGCCTGGCAGCTTGCCAGCGATGGTGGAGGACTCACTCCAGGTGTGACAGCTTCCCGCCGTGCTGTCAGCATCGGCAATGGCCCGTTTTGTCACCCGGGGCATGACTTGCCTCGCGGGGTTTGTTCAGTCCAGGTAAACACCCCGCGAGACAGGAGGAGCCCGGATTACCAGGGCAAGCAAACAGGAGGCTTGAGGAAGACAAGAATCCAGGCCTCTCCTCGCCCTCTCACCGGCTCGTCCGTATGGATGACTTACATCTTGACGACCACGGGGCTGCAGAGTGTGAGCCCACACCCGGCACCAAGGCGGGCACCCCCCCCCACCCCCACCCAAGGGAGAGGAGAGACCCTGCGCCCAGGCAGGGCCCTCACCAGCCAGCATGCAGACCAAGGACCTGGCCTCCTCGCAGATGGACTCATCCCAACCCCGTGTCGTTTACCCAGACTCCTGAGCGACCAACTGACATCCCATGGCCTTGATGTTGGTGTTTCTCTTGCTTGTCTGTTAAATGCTATTTGCCCAAGTAAGACTGTGTCTGCTTTTCAATGACCAACCACAGGCTTTGAAAAACCAGGCACTTCCTGAACGACCCGAACCTCCCTTGTCCTGCCTACTGCCGCCTCTCCAGGGAAAAATCGGCCATCACATACGAGAGAACGGAGGCTTCATGAGTCCAGTGAGGCCCTGCTGGCGGCATTTCCTGTCTGGACTCCTGGAGAGAGGCCAAACATTGGCACCTGGTGGGCCTGGTCCACCCCACCCCCCACCCAGTACAGGCAGACACCTCCTGCTGCTCACCGGAACTCTCCACGTGGGGGTCCCACACAGAGCAAGCCTGTAGGATCTAAAACTGACACCCCACCACCCTCCTCCCACAACCACCCACCCAGGCACCAAAGCCCGTGGGCGCTCTATGAGGCTTTCGTTCACAGCCCACAGCAATATGGTCAGCCCCGCCTTCCAAATACACCCAGCCCCTTCAAACGCCCACCCTCCGCTCCCACCTGACATCTAGTCCCGCGGCCTCCCGACTGCTCGACTCCACATGTTAAAGGATTGCGAACCACGCCAAAAGAGAGGGGCCATCACAACTCCCCAAATACCCGCAAGTTACTGCAGACAGGGACTTGCAAAGATTCCAACTGACCCAGGTTCAAGTTCAGAATGCTGCCAGTGGTGGACGTGGTGGGCGCCTTCTCCGTTTTCGTTGTGAGTGGCGCTGGCGCTTGGGGGGAGAAGGGTTTAGGGCTGCCAGATAAACTCCCCGCTTGGCCCGTCTTGGTAGAGGCTGGAGAAGCTGGGAAAAAAAGAAGTCATTGTTAAAAGACTGACAGACAAACACACAAGAATTGTTAGGTGCGGGCTAAGGGGAGAAGGGAGAAGTTGGGAAATTGTACTTGATTTCCACAAGGCCAACCGAGCCCCATAAGAAGGGGGGAGGAGAAGGGAAGGGTAACCATTTATTTTAAGCAAAGGGCTTTAATCCAGCCTTAAACCGTTAAAGCCACAGAGGAAGGCGACCTCCCCAGCTACCCTAGCCAACACAAGCCCTAAGACAAATCAGCTAAGCTGCCTCTGAAATTGGTTTGGCCCTTTCATGGTGTAAAATCTCAAATAGCAATTCCACCAGCCGCCACCACGTCCAGATGCCCAGACTGGGAGCCAGGCTAACCAATGGCATCTCATCCGTTTGAGCAAAGACACAGGCCCTGGCTCACACCCAGGGCCCTGCACCTGCCTGTAACCAACTTGACCCCTTGGGGGAAAGCCCTGGGTTCCCATTTCAAAGGCCCTTCGCTTTTTTTTTGTCTGCCTCCGAGTGAAAGCCAAAGGGGCAGCAGATGGAGTGAGGGAGAAGTTGGTGAGCTGCCTCTGCTTCCTCGGAGCATACCTGTGCCCGAGGCGTTGCCAAACCTCTGAGAGCTCGTTTAACCACAGCTCCTCGGGAGGCAGGGGGAGCCCGGGGAACACAGGGGTAAACGTGCTCAGGTGCTCATCAACAGTTAGCTGTTCGAACTCACCGACAGTGTGCCCCCGTGAGACCACGGATTTTTACACAAGATGTACGTTCGCATGAGCCCAGGAGGGGCTTCCAAGACCCTCTGTATCCTCCTATTCGCCCTCCCAGCTCAGCTTCACCAGGCTTTCTGGTTAACTCCTTCCTCGTTAGCTGGCCCTGGAAATCCAGGCATGCGATAAAGTGCCCGACACCACACACACACACACACACACGCACGCACGCACGCACGCACGCACGTACGCACGCACGCACACCAGAGACTTCAAAAATACTCCAACACTACGTAGGGCGATTGCCTCCGTTTCACGACCTGTCAAGTGGGGCTACGCAAGAATGGACGCTTCAGTAGGTTGGAGCTTATACATCAGGTCTTCCAGTCAATAAACATAAACTAGTTTTAGATCCATGCCTAGAGGTGCCAATATCGAGAATGTATTATCGTGGCTGTACTGAATTGCAGAGTTCATGTCCCTCCCCAAATTCATCTCCATCTGAGCATAAAAATGTGATCTTCCTGGAAAGGGGGACTTGGCACACACACACACACACAAAAGAAAGAAACCAACTTGCCCAATGGTTCCCAGGGATGAAGGGGAAAAAGTTGTTGCATAGGGGACATTGAGTTTATGTCACGGTGGTAGAAAAATCTGGAAAAGGATATCCATAATGGTACAAAACGAAGAGTTTAATCAATGTCACTGAATTATACAAGAAGTTGTAGAAATGGAGAATATGCTGCTGTGTATATTTGTGCTACGATTAGAAAAAAAATTGCATGACTAACAATGGCTGCAAGAAAGAAGAAAATGTTCTAGAATTAACTATGGTGACAATCGTACACCGCTTCTTGATATGGTTGAATTCGGGAAGTGCATGACATGTGGATGACGTGCTAATAAAACTTAAAAAGAAAGAAAGAAAGGGGGTCTTGGCATCCATAATACAGTTAGGATGAGTCACTGAATTCACATGGGTCTGAAGTTAGTATGACTGGTGTCCTCTGTGAGACCAGGGGAACTGGACAAACACACACTGGGAAACCAGCCGTGCAGCGATGGACGCAGAGGCTCAAGTGCAGCTTCTACAAACCGAGACTGCAGGCAACCACCCACCCTACTGGTGAGCGGAGTAGCACAGAACCAACCAACCCTGCCACACCTTGTCCAGGTTCTGGCACCGAGAGAATACATTTCTATTGCTTTGAGTGACCAAGTTTGTGCGAATGTGTTGGCAGACCCCTAGGAAACTAATGCCAAGGGAGCCCTGGTGGTACGGTGCCTTAGCCCTTTATAACAATACTTGACACTATTCCTCTTCAATATTTCCTTCAATTTGGTCTACTTGATATGATTCCCCAACTGACAAGGTCAATCGCGGTCCATTTCAGAGCAACCAAGCAGCCTAGGGTTATCAATCTTCATGATTCCTTTACCTTTTTGGCCACATCCAATTTCTCTAGATTCATACTTTGTATATTCCACATGTCAATTGCTGATGGACGCAGCTGTTTCCTCTCATTTTGAGTCAGGTACACCAAGAAGTGAAGTTCCTAGAAGCTTCGCTCCATCCGGGTCAACTCTTCATTGAGAGGTAGCTTCTCCTCCGTCGTATTACATATTACCTTTCAATCAGAGCGGCTCGTCTTTCAGCAAGGTATCAGACACTGTTCCACGGCTATTCATAAGGTTGTCATTAGCCAACTTATTTATTTATCTTAGTTTTAGGTCGTACCTCCTAGTCTGAAAGGTCTACTAAGCCCTGTCCATCATGGGGAACCCTGCCGGTATTTGAGAGACTAGTGGCACAGACAGAAATACCAGTAACACAGGATCATGCAGCCACCAGTGGGACATGCAGCGAGACCACCACAGAAAGAGATACAAACAGCATCTAATTCTCTAAGTTTTTTGGAGGCTTTAATGAATAAATCGGGCAATTAACGCACAGCGCCTGGCATTGATTGACTCCTCTGCTATCGTTTGCTCGGAGAGCAGTGTTTCCCAACAGCCTCTAGAACTCTGGGTCCCCCATCTAAACAGTGGCTCTAAGCTGGGGATAGTCTCTCACCACTGGGGCACATTCAGCAATCCCTGGAGGCATTTCTGATCGTCACAACTGAAGAGGGGGTGCCACTAACATGCAGACCCCAGAGATGCTTCCAACCACCTACATGGCACAAGAGTGTCCCTGGCATGTCTCTGACCCAGAGTCCCAACAGGAATGAAGCGAAGAAACTCTAAACATGGAGATGATACAGGTATTACTCAGGAATTCCTGTTCTTCATTTGCAAATCAGGAGAGACGGCGACGAGATTTGCTAATCCATGCCAACTGGTATTCGGCAAGTGCGCAATAAAATACGGGGAATTTAAAAAAAAGAATTAGGCTGAACTACCAAATCAGAACACAGTCCTGGTTAAGCATTAGATGCCTGGTCCGGCACCTGGGCTAGACTCTTAGTTTGGCTGTGGTGGATCCTCCACTGAGGTGACGTGGCCGGCATGTTGCTGCGAGGCTGGAAGCCACACCACCGATATTCCAAATGCCAGGAGCCTCACCCACGAGGCGCAGGTTTCAGTGAGGCTTCCTCCTCAGACAGTCTAGGACAGCAGTTCTCAATCTGCGGGTCGCGACCCCTTTTGGGGGGGGGTTGTACAACCCTTTTTCACAGGGGTCATCCAAGACCATTGGAAAAAACCTATCTCCTATGGTCTTAGGAACAGAGACCCACTCCTCTATCCGTCTCCAGGCGGGTCCGCCCACATGCAGCTATGCTGGTCGGGTAAGAAAGAAGCTATCTCAACTTCCGCACAGCAGAAGGCTTTTACCGCATACTGTGCCAAAATGTAGCAATGTAGTTTACTGCTGTTACATTAAGACTGTTACCCATGCTACACCATGCTTCAAGACAGAATTTCATTTATTTGTCATTAGAAATAAATATTTCACCATATAGAATTACATATTGTTTTTGTGATGAATCACTATACTTTCATGATGTTCGATTTGTAACAATGAAAATACATCCTGCCTATCAGATATTTACATGACGATTCCTAACAGTAGCAAAATGACAGTGATGAAGTAGCAAGGACAGTAAGGTTATGGTTGGGGGTCCCCACATGAGGACCCGCATGAAAGGGTCTCGCCTGAGGAAGGTGAGAACCACTGGGCTAGGAAGAAAGGCCTGGTGATCTACTTCCCAAAAAAGGGGTAAAGAAAACATCCTAAGCCAATTCCCAGGCTTTGGACATGCTAGCAGGAATTACCAGCGAGGACATCATGTGTGCTGAAGATAAGGGCCATCAAAGGTGAGGAAGACCCTGGATCAGACAGGCAGTGAGGATCTGGAAGACACAGCTATTCTGTGGGGCAAAGAGGAGTCCTTTCTGCTCTCGTAAAAAGTGAGTCTCAGAAACCCCCAGTGACAGTCCTACCCGGTCCTCTCGGGTTCACTGGGAGTCGGCAGCCCCTCACTGGCAGTGAGTTTGGGCTCAGAGAGGAACAAGGTGAGCCGGCCTAAGCTCCAACAAAGGTGAAACTCAGAATCCATGGGGCGCCGCCCGCCCCCATCCCACAAGGCCGCGGTGAGGTGGCATCGATGCAGTGGTGGCGAACGTTTGAAAACGGAAACCAGCAGAATGAAACTGCTTCCTAAACAGAGACAAGCACGAAGACAAAGGCTTCAAGACAGAAACTGTTAGTGTTCACCTTCTTAAAAATCCACTCATCTCTGTACCTAGTCCCAAAGGAAATCTGCAGGAAGTCCAAGTATCCCTGTAATGTATTTCACACGGAGATTAAACACGAAGATCTATCTTTATTATTATGAATACAGTCTCTTAAAGAAAGCAGCCAGCCAGGCAAGCAGGAAGGCATGCCTTCTCATGCGCTCCAGAGCACGGCTTGAGACCCGCTGGGCATTTTAACAAGGAGGCCCAACTCTAAGTGGTCGAAGGAGGAAGGGAAAAAAACCCAAAGATGTTGTCCCACGTAGAACCCAGTCAAGTGAGTCACACCTCCCTTCCTAAGAGGTCAAGTCTCAAAAGCGAAAAAGAGAATTTCACTATAAAACCGTGTCGGGAATGCCCCCCCTGTTTCCCAAAGTGCAAACAGTTGAGTATATAGGTATATGGTTTTCTAAAATCATTATTCTAGAAACTTAACAGTGGTACACTGTCAGGAAAAACTCGAGGGAGTGTGGGCAGAACCATGTTTATTTTATGGTGGTGGTGGGGGTGTGTGTCCCTGTGAGTCGACAATGAGTTTAGTTTGGA